AGCTCGAGTTACTTGGTGTTGTAATCAAACGTCGGAACAAGTCTTCGGTTAAGAAGTATGTTTGTAATCAATTTTCTATTAGTTTACACATGGTTTTGGTTTCAGACGAAAGCTTAAAAAGGAGAGCAATGGCAGCGATAACGGCAATGTTGACAATAGAGCAAGTGTTCACAGTGAAGAAAGTGATGCTGAGCCGGAACTTGATATATCTTCGGTAGCTAAAAACATTCTCCTTTGTGTTGTGTAGTCGCTCTCGACCATCAGTCCAACATATAACCATTTGATTTTCATAGTGCAGACGAACTTGTAGTATCATTAGTTCGAGAATTCTCTTTCTGAAGATAATGTCTTGTTGGCTCCCACTGATGTTGTTCATGAGCACTATCGTGGCTCTAGATTACGTACATAATAATTTTTGTTATATAAGAATTTAGGATGACGATCGTGATAGCATCGCTGAACTAGTAAATGATGCTGAGAACATCAATCCCTCTTCACCACCTAGTCAGAGTGGAGAACAAGCAGCTGATATTACACATAATGAAAGAAGTAATAAGACTCCTTCTAGTGATATGCGGCAAAATAAGGAGGCTCTTGTGGAAGTAGTTGTAAAGGTTGGTACTACCAAAAACTTTACAGTATGTAACGACACAGTAAGCTTTTTCCATTTTCAGAGTTCTATCAAAAGGAAACGAGTGCTAGCCAGTTCTGATGAAGAAGACAATGCGCCAGAATACGAAGCAAAGGAAAGAATACCTACACCAGAGCTTGATCTGCCCGATTCGCCTGTATCTCTAAAGAAGAAGAAACATCGGGTTATTGTTAGCGATTCAGACGAAGATTGAGACCGCTTTGCAAATGCCCTTTTTCCCAGTCACCGTTGAGTATCTGTACATAAATGCTTGTCATAATGTCTTCAAAGAGGATTGTATTCTACCTTGACAAAGTACGCAGCATATCTGAGCTTTTATTGTGATAACTAATAACTAATTAGATTAACAATATTAGTAAGAAAGACATGACCATTTCTTGGCAGTAATAACAATAATACGAACACTCCAGACTAGATCCGCATACACTTGAAAGACAAATCCACAAGAGACAGGGCCTTAATGTGATACTGGTCACGGTGCGTAGGATTGTGCTACTTTTTAAGACTTCGCAAAATAAGATTCAGAAGCGGTAGCTTTCACAAAATCCCACAGGTACACTACTGAAAGCCATGTCGAACTTCCTCATGAATTTGGTATTTTCTCCAGCGGATAGATCTAACGATGGTAATAGAACAAATCTTCTAACTGTCGTCAATTATGTGATTTTTGTGAGAACGCAGAACAACCAGCACAGCAAGCGCTCGAATTTCAATTTGCACAAATTGACTTTGTTGAACTTGTATTCTATTATGTATATCGTAACTGGCATCTCGGATAGCTTTTTCAAAAATTGAATAGTCAGCTCTTTGGTAGATTTCTAGTCATGTGGGCTATGGCGGGTTCCAGTAAGCAAGTTTGTAATAAAGCAGAGTTTCTCATTTCTCGCAGGTTTGCGTTATTCAGGTCTTCCTCGTTCTGTGTACATATTCTTTCAATTACATAGCAACTT